TCCCATTTCAGTGCCACCATGGTTCAGATACACCGTGCCATCGCTGTAAATGTGAATCAGGGCACCTGCCTGATTGAGATGGGTGGTGGTAAATGAGATGCCAAATTTTACCGGTGTCATGGCGATGCCACGCTTCAGCAGGGTGTTTTTATCATTGAATGTTTTGATCTCGGCACGGCGGGCTCGATAATCTGAGCTGCTTTCCAGCGTGTCGAAAATCTGCTGGATGATGTTGTCTTCGATAACCTGTTTGTAAGGGGTGACATTCCGCTCATTGACGCCGTAAAAATTGGTTCTCCGTACGTCTAATGGATCCAGACTCAATGCGCGACTGATATCGTCTATGACATACTCGATCGCAAACATGCCTTGTGGGCCGCCAAAGCCGCGAAAAGCAGTGTTGGAGACCGTATTTGTTTTACACCGATGAGACGTGATGTGTGCGTTGGCCAGATAGTAGGCGTTATCGCAATGAAACATGGCTCTGTCATTGATTGCGCCTGACAAGTCTGCAGACATGCCGCAGCGCGATGCAAGGCTCAGATCCAGGCTGCTGATTTCCCCGCTGTTTGAATACCCTACCGCATAGTCAATGTCGAAATCGTGGCGTTTGCCTGTGACTATCATATCCATGTCGCGATCGAATCTAAGCTTTGCCGGCCGTCCGTTTTTCTGCGCAGCCAGCGCGGCGATACCTGCAAGTAATGCCGGTTGGCTTTCTTTGCCTCCAAACCCGCCGCCCATGCGTCGGCATTCAACCATAACGTCGTTGGAATTTCGGTTCAGAATCTGTGCAACAACATGTTGAATTTCAGAGGGGTGCTGAGTCGAGCAGTACACCAGCATATTGTTGTCTTCACCTGGAATGGCCATGGCAATCTGGCCCTCCAGGTAGAACTGGTCCTGGCCGCCAACGCTGGTGCTGCCGGTAAGCTGGTGTGGCGCTTCAGCAAACGCTTTAACAGGGTTGCCAACGGTAGCTTCCTTGCTCGGCAGGATAAATGAATTCTGCGCCAGAGCGGTTCGCGCATCGATGATGGAAGGCAGCTTGCGATAGTGGATGACAGCGAGGGATACCGCCTTTCGTGCTGTAATGACATCTTCGGCAACAACAGCAAATATTGGCTGGCCTGCATACTGAACCAGCTTGGCGCTTAACAAGGGGTCGTCATCCAGAACCGGGCCATAGTTGTTTTTACCCGGGATATCCGCCTCCACAAGTACGTCAACAACACCTTCCAGGGCCAGCACCGGCTGCAGGTCTATATGCTCAATTATGGCATGGGCGTGTGGGCTGACACCCAGGGCAATGTGCAGGAGATTTTTCGGTTCCGGCAAATCGTCTGTATAGCGGGCGTTACCAGATACGTGCAGGTAAGCGCTGTCATGATGTTGAGGTTCACCGACGCCACCGGTGGCTTTGACATCTGGATTAACGGCCATATTGATAAACATTGGTTAATGCAGAGGGCTGCGTGGTTGCAAGAAAAAAGCGACGCAACAGGTTCTGCGCTACCTGCGATCGATAAGCAGCACTTGCACGCATGTCATCTATGGGGGAAAAATCATCTGCAAAGCTGTCTAACGCCTGATCTATATTTGCTTCCGTCCACATGGTGGATAGCAGTTGTGCTTCGACGTGAGTTGCGCGTTTTGGAATAGCGGCCATACCACCAAATGCGATCTTTATATCTGTCACGATCTGCGTGTCGGGCTGCAGTTCAACCGCAAAACATCCGCAGACCGCTGAAATATCCTGGTCGAAACGTTTTGAAATTTTGTAGGCGGCAACGGTCTGATTTGCTTGCGGGCGCGGAATGATAATTTTTTCAATAAATTCACCCTCGGTCAGCTGAGTCTGCTGATAAGCGAGGTAAAACTCATCCAGTGCCACGGTGCGGGTTTTATCACCCTGGCGCAGCAGCAGTTGAGCACCAACGACCATCAAAGCCGGCATCGAATCACCGATGGGTGATCCATTTGCGATATTGCCACCAATTGTGGCGGCGTTGCGGATGGGTACGGATGCAAAGCGAGTTAACAATTCCGCGAAGGCGGGATAAAGTTCTATCAAAGCCGGCATCGCTTCACTCCAGCTCACAGCGGCACCCAGGGTAAGTTCTGTCTCCGTAAGCTCGATTGTTTTCAAACTGGCGACATCACCCAGGTAGATGACTTGGTCGATCTGTCGATGTGCCTTGGTCACCCATAATCCAATATCCGTGCCGCCGGCAAGTAGCTGCGCGTCGGGGTGTTCTAATATAAGTGTGCTCAATTCTTCGACGGTGGTGGGGGATGAAAAAGTGCGACCGGAGGCTTGCATGTGCAACGCCGGTGCAGAACGGCTGGATGCCTGCAGGTCGATCAGTTTTAAGCGAGCCGATTCGGCGATGGGGTTCTTAACAGCTGGATAGTCATAGACCGCAAGCGCTGCGTCCTTGATAGGACGATAGCCGGTGCATCGGCAAAGGTTTCCGGAAAGCACATCATCGACTTCGCGCGCATTCATCTGCACACCGTTTTCATATTGAGCAAACAGTGACATGACAAAACCCGGCGTACAGAATCCACACTGCGACGCATCCAGGTCAACCATGGCCTGCTGTACAGGGTGTGCTTCGGCAGCGGATCGAGAGAGGGCTTCGATAGTGAACAAGGCCTTGCCATGCAGGGTGGGTAGAAAAGCGATACACGCGTTGATGGCCTTGTGAGACAGAACTTGAGTGTGTTCATCCAGTTCTGCAACAACAACCATGCAGGCGCCACAGTCGCCTTCACCGCAACCTTCTTTGCTGCCGGTCAGGTTTAGGTCTTCACGCAGGTATTGCAGTACGGTTTTTGTCGGTTCGCAGGATGTTGCGTGGACCTTTTCACCATTCAGAATAAAGTTGATCACGTCACTCATGAGGACACGGTGCCTTTTTTGTAAACCCGTTCACCCAGTATGTACGTTTCACTGATGGAACGATCGTCACCCAGAATCATGTGCATGAACAATGCATCCTTGTGTGTATGTGCTTGTGCCAGTCGACGTGCAAGCAGTGGGGTTGGCGTGTTGTCCAGAATAATGAAGTCGGCCTCTTTGCCAGATAGAAAATTCCCAACTTTGTCGTCGATCCCTAAGGTTTTAGCGCCGCCTAACGTGGCCAGATAAAGCGCCTCGGCGCTGTGCAGGCTCTGTTTCTGCATCTGCAGGACTTTATAGGCTGCGTTGATGGTTTGCAGCAGGCTGAAACTGGTGCCGCCACCCACATCGGTGCCGAGACCAACGTTGACGCCATAAGCATGGGCTTTTTTCAGGTCAAATAAGCCGCTGCCTAAAAACAGGTTTGACGACGGACAGAACGCCATACCACCGCCGTGCTGTGCAAACTCCTGATAGTCTTCTTCGTGCAGGTGAATGCAGTGAGCAAAAACTGATCGTTCCCGTAGTAAGCCGTGTTGGGCGTAAACATCCAGATAGCTGCGAGCATGTGGGAACAGTTCAGTGATCCAGGCCACTTCGTCTAAATTTTCAGACAGGTGGGTGTGTATCAATGTGTCGGGAAACTCCTCCGCGAGTTGTCCGGCGGCTGCCAGCTGCGCATCACTGCTGGTTACCGCAAATCGCGGCGTGATGGCATACAGCAGGCGGTCCTGGTGATGCCATTTTTCGATGAGTTCGCGCGAGTCGTGGTATGCACTTGCCGGTGTATCCTGCAGGTTAGCGGGACAGTTTCGATCCATGAGTACCTTGCCCGCAGCTAAACGCATATTGCGCTGTTGTGCGGCAGTAAAAATTGCGTCAACAGATGTCGGGTGCACAGAGGCGAATACCAGTGCGGTGGTGGTGCCGTTACGCAGTAACTCATCAATAAAAAAGTTTGCGTCTGCCTGTGCAATTTCAGGGTCGCCGTAACGTGCCTCTGAGGGAAACGTATAGGTTTCCAGCCAATCGAGCAGCTGCGCGCCATAAGATGCAATGACATCCAGCTGCGGAAAGTGGACGTGGCAGTCAATCAGTCCCGGACAAATCAGGTGTTCACCATGATCAATAATCAGGCTGTCTGCAGAAAGTTGAGCACGTATATTTTCGGCAGGTCCCAGTTCGATGACCTTGCCATCTTTTACCAGCAACATACCGTCAGTAAAAAACTGCAGTCCTGCTTCGGTGTCATCCAGGCAATGAACGATCTGACCCCGGTGTGCTGTGAGCTGTGCTGACAAGCTAACTACCCCGGTAAGTGGAATATGACCACGGCGACACCAATAGAGGCACGTGATAATGACTGCTGTCGGTAATGGTGAAACGCAGCGTGATGCTGTCGAGGAATGCCGCGTCGTCGATGGCCCCGGTCTTTCTGAAATATTCAGCAACTGAAAAGGTCAGCTCATACGTGTCGGGTACCTGGCTGTTATCATCAAGCAGGGGCAGGTCCGTACGGCCATCGCTGTTGGTGACCGTCGTAACCAGCAACTCTCGTTCAGCGCTGACGCGATGTAGCGTCAGCGGGATGCCGCTGCCGGGTTTGCCATGTGCCGTATCTAAAACATGGGTTGTTAAACCGCCCATCAGAGTCTTCCTTTGTATAAATGCCTGGCGCGGTAATTGCCGGGCGTAATTATGTGCCGTTCTGTACGATAGCGCATTCAGTCTGGCTCACCTGCTCTGTGAACAGGAAAGCAAATATTGAGCCACGTGTTTGTAGGCATGGCAATGGCAGTTAAAGACGCGCCGACCGGGTGGTGGCTCGCGGCTTCATTGTTATCTATCCATTGTGCAACATGATAGCTTTTTAGCGCAGCAAAGTCGGCCTGGTCCGTGAATTGCATCTCATCAAGACCAGCCTGGAGCTTTGTGTCTGGGTGTGCGGGTTAACAGGCGTTTCTTAAGGGTTCAGTAGATTCAGGAGAGTAGGTGAGTGAGCAGATCGATTTTTGATTTTTCGAGCCTCTGCAGGGTGGCTATTACGCTGATAACTGGAACCATAGGCCTGGTTACTCAGCCGCTGCTTGCGCAGATGCAGTCGGAAACGGCGCAAATCCCGATCAAAGTTGTGGTTGTGTCAATGTTCGAGCATGGAGAACTCAGCGGCGACAGACCCGGTGAGTTTCAGTTCTGGGTTGAACGGTTACCTTTGGCAAAGCAACTCGACTTTCCGCTTGGACCTTATCCACTTCGTATGAATGAAGCTGGTGTGCTTGGCGTCTGCCTGGGGGGTGGTATTGCCAACGCCGCAGCGACGATAATGGCGTTGGGATTGGACTCACGTTTTGATTTTTCACAAAGTTACTGGCTTGTAGCCGGCATTGCCGGGGGCGATCCCGAGGACAGCACGCTGGGCAGCGCGGTTTGGGCCAACCATATAGTTGACGGTGATCTGTTATATGAAATTGACGGTCGCGAAATCCCTGCTGACTGGCCTTACGGCATGATCCCTCTGGGTGCAGAGCGCCCTGCCGAAACGCCACAGGATACGTCCACCGGTTGGACACTGGATACGATCCACTTTGCTTTGAACGCAGATCTTGCACGCTGGGCTTTTGATCTCACAGAGCAGATTAAAATTCCCGACTCACCGGGACTGCAGCGCGGGCGGGCAGGGTACACGGGGTTCCCGGCAGCACTCGCACCACCTGTTGTCATGATGGGCGACACGCTGTCATCCAGTACTTATTGGCACGGTGCCCTGTTGAATGAATGGGCGAATGACTGGGTGCCCCTGTATGCCGGTGACGAAGCTGAGTTTGTCACCACGAATATGGAAGACAGTGGCACGCTGACGGCGCTTGAGCGGCTGCACGAGATTGGTAAGGTCGATCTGCAGCGGGTCATGGTTTTGCGCACGGTGAGTAATTTTTCCATGCCGCCTCCTGACAAAACCGCTGCCTGGAGTGCAACTGCTGAATATGCTGACAAGGGTCTGCCAGCGCTGGAATCGGCATTCAGTGTTGGGAATACTGTGGTTCAGGCGATACTCGAGAACTGGTCAGAATTTTCAGTTTCAGTGCCGGGTAGGAGTGTGCCTGCAGGGACGACTGCGTCAGCAGCACCCAGCGCTTCAGTGGGCGAATGAGGTGGGCTGCGTCAGCCTTGTATGCACCCAAAGACCACAATAGGATGTTCTATCGCACCCCGATGGTGCAAAACAGCAGCATCGATATACAGTTTTGTTTGATGGAAATGTTATGAGCTTATTTGGTAAACGGCTTTGCCGTTTTTTGGTGGTTATGCTCGGGTTCGTGTCCGTTCAGGTGGTACAGGCACAGGACTGGTTCGAAGCCTTTAAAGATCGTGCGACGCCGGCGCAACTTCACCAGTTCTTGTATGTCATGCCCAAAGGTGGGGATCTGCACCTGCACATTACCGGTTCCGTGTTGTCGGAATGGATTTATGCTATTGCGCTTGAGCAGTCAGCTAATGGTTATCGTTACTATTCCAAACACAAAATCGAAAATTGTCCAAGTGGATTGATTGGTGGTCGAAGCACGCCTTACCTTATGCTTTATCAGACCGTTGATCAGGTGGGTTACGATGCACTCGACGCCTGCGAACAACAGGAATACGTTGCGCTGGATGAATTCACCCCCGTGCAGATTGAACGCTGGCAGAACGGCTTGCGTCTGGATAAGCCTTACGAAGGGCGAGATGAGTTTTTCAGTAAACACTGGGAGCGATTGGGTGATCTGGTCCGCAACCCATATGTGGTGGGGGAATTTCTGGTGCGTAACATGCAGGCCTTTGCCGCCGAAGGTCTGGTCTATATGGAGCCTCAGGTGCCGATCTTTGGCTTTCGAAAAGCGGATGGCCAGACCCTTACGCCGGATGACGTGATGGCCATATATATTGATCGTCTCGCCCGGAAGGACGCCCTGGACACGGGTATGACCCTGCGGATGCAGGTGTCTTTGCTGCGCTTTTTACCAGACGCCGAAGAGATTCTGACCTACCTTTACAAATTCGCCCATGCTTATGAGCAGGTGGTCGCGGTTAATTTTGTGGGCCGCGAAGATAACGACAAAGGTTATCCGCTGCGGTTTCTGGACACCTTGCGAGAGCTGCGCAAGACCTACAGCGGCGTGCAACTGTCGATTCATGCGGGGGAGGTGGATGAACCGAATTACCATGTCCGCGATACTCTGTTGTTGGGTGCGGACCGGATCGGTCACGGCGTTAATCTCATCACTGATCCAGGTACCCTTATCGATATGCGTTATGGCCCTTATCTGGTAGAGGTAAATCTGATTTCCAATCTGCTGCTTGAATATGTCACGCAATATGACCAGCACCCGTTTCCTGAATATCTGCGCACTGGTGTACCTGTGGCCTTGTCGACCGACGACCGGGGCATGTGGGATTCGACAATGACAGATGAGTTTTTTGTGGCGGTCACTGAGTTTGACCTGAGTTGGGACGAGATCCTTACCCTGAGTCGAAACTCGCTGTCATACAGTTTTCTTGGTGCTGCTGAAAAACAACGTGTTCTGGCACTTTACAACAAGCGTATCGAGCGTTTCGAAAAAGACTTTCTGCGCAAGGGTGACAAAGTCTTCGCAGATGCGCAGCCACCCCGTCTCGGGTTTGTCTGCCGACAGTATGAGTTATGTGACTAATTTTTTTGCAGGGATGAGAGTTCGTTTGGAAAACAGGAAGCAGATGATGCAGATGGTGTTGAAGTATGTTGTGGGCGCTGTGGTGAGCTTAGGTCTGCTGTTCGGTTGCACGCAGACCAAGCAGGAACAGACAACAGCAGTGGCGGAAAAACTGCCGGTCAAAATAGTGGTGGTCACCATGTTTGAGCGCGGCGCCATTGAAGGCGACGAACCAGGCGAGTTTCAGTTCTGGAAGGAGCGTCGTGAGCTGGATCAGAAGTTTGAATTACCCCACGCCCACCACGACCTCTACTACAACGCAGACAGCCAGATCCTGGGTATGATCACCGGTGTTGGCACCGCCAAAGCAGCTGCCTCGACCATGGCGCTTGGACTTGATCCACGTTTTGACCTGACACAGGCTTATTGGTTAGTTGCTGGCATAGCAGGGATTGATCCAGAAGATGCATCCATCGGCTCTGCTGCCTGGTCGGCTTATCTTGTGGACGGTGATCTCGGACACGAGATCGACATCAGAGAAGTGCCTGAGGATTGGGACGTCGGCTATTTTGCGCGCCGTACCCAAAAACCTTTTGATCCGAATAAACCGCAACCCAATGGCGAGATGTTTCTGCTCAATGAGCAGCTGCGTGATTGGGCGTTCGAGCTGACGGAATCCGTTGTGTTGCCGGATCTGCCTGGGCTTGCGAAAACACGAGAACAGTACACCAATCACCCCAACGCACAGAAACCTCCGTTTGTGCTCAAAGGTGGTCACATTGCTGCACTGACCTTCTGGCATGGTGCAATGATGAACGACTGGGCGAACCGGTGGGTCAGCTACTGGTCTGACGGCAACACCGATATGGTTACCTCGGCAATGGAGGAAACAGGCACCTATCTGTCGATTGAATACCTGCACAATTCAGGTCTTGTCGATAAGCATCGATTTATGGTTTTAAGGGCGGGTAGTAATTACACCATGCAGCCGCCAGGGGTTGGTGCCGCGGAGAATCTGTTACGTGAAAATGAAGGCTATGCCGGTATGGAGGCGTCGTTAGAGTCGCTGTATCTGGTGGGTTCCGTGGTTATCGATGAGTTACTTGATAACTGGGCTCTGTATGCCTCCACGATCCCCTCTCCGGAGATGTCAGAGACAATCGATTAGTTTTACCTGGCGCAATGTGCCTGTTTTTAAAGTGTTTTGGGCGCCGGGTTGAAAGGTGTAGATCAAAGCCCGCCGTTTTTCTGTGCTGTTGTTAGCGCCAGACCCATGCACACAGTGTGGGTCAAAGAAGATCAGCGAACCGGCAGGCACTTCAAATTGCACGGCATTGTTCAGATCAAAGGTGGTTGGGTCGGTATAGAAACCGCCCAGGTCTGTGCCATCGTCGGTGCCTGGTAACATACCCGATTGATGGCTGCCTCTGACGATTTCAAAACAGCCGTTGCTTATAGATTGGTCATCAAGGGTCAACATGACGTTGGGTAACAGATCCACATGATCGCAGTTGTGGATCCAGTAAGGTGAATCCTGGTGCCAGCCGAAGCCAGCGCCGCCTGGCCCTTTCAGATTCAGTTTGGCTGTCCACAACGAAAGATCTCTGGTCCCGAGAATCGAACACATTGGTACGGTCAGGCGCGGGTCATCTACCAGTTGGTCCAGGGCGTTATCAAATTCGACGATGGGTTCTATAACCCGAAAATTTGACTGTAACTCAGACACCTGATTGGCGGCTTCAAACTGCAGGGTGCTTCGCCCCACATCAACAAATCTTTTACCGTCGAGGAAATACTCGTGTCCCGCTGATGCCTGTCTTAAAGCGTTGGCACAGGCGCGCTCCAGGGCGTTATGCAGGTGCTTTACTTCGCTTGCCGAGAAAGCGTTAGCGCGCACCAGGTATCCGTCCTGCTGGTATTGCTGCAATTGCGCGTCGCTGAATTCAAGCGTTGGGTCTGGGTTTTGTCTTTCTCTATTCATTTGCGTGTCTTTACTTGTTTGCCAGCAGTTCACGTCACCTTCACGATCGCCACCCTAGGGTGTCCGGACTCTTAAAGTGGAACTGCTTATGAACTCCGTAGTTGAGCCTGTCCTCAGGAAGGCGATTGAACAGAATCGAATGTCTTCCTGCAAGCCGGTGTCCGAACGTATCCGTGCCAGGCTGGAAGCAGCAGGCGAGCGGTATTTTGCCAACGATAACATCCGTCGCTATATGCATGCTGACGAAGTTGAAGAGCTTCAGCATGAAGTCAAAGAAAAATTGCAGGAAGTGCTCAAGTCACTGGTGATTGATGTTGAAAACGATCACAACACGCAAGACACGGCCAAGCGGGTGGCTAAGATGTTTGTGCAGGAAGTGTTCGCTGGTCGTTATGCTGAGCAACCTGCAGTCACAGAGTTTCCAAATGTATCGCGTCTGAACGAACTGATGATCGTCGGTCCAATTGCCGTTCGTAGTGCATGTTCCCATCACCTTTGCCCAATCATGGGTAAAATCTGGGTGGGTGTTCTTCCAGATGAAGATTCTGCCCTGATCGGACTGTCCAAGTACGCACGTCTGGTCGATTGGGTCATGTCGCGACCGCAGATTCAGGAAGAAGCGATCGCTCAATTAGCCGATGTGTTAGAAGAAAAAATGGCGCCGGACGGGTTGGCCATTGTGATGGAAGCCGATCATTACTGTATGCACTGGCGTGGCGTGAAGGACACCGAGTCCAAGATGATTAACAGCGTGATGCGCGGCGCGTTCCGCAGCGATGCTGACCTGCGCCGAGAGTTTTTGACACTCAAAAAATAGTGTTAAGGCCGGTGTGATAAACGATCACCCAGAAAGGCGCCCTGACCAGTTGGATGCATCTGGTTGGGCGCCTTTTTTGTGACCCGGTCGCAGCCTGGATACAGATACATTGACGCGGGTTTCACGTCCTCAGGTCGACAATGGCGCCAGTTCGAATAAGGGATCGGTTTGTTTTGAAAGTTGCAGTTATCGGTGCAGGAATTACAGGCGTGTCAGCAGCATGGCACCTTGACCAGGGTGGCATGAGAGTTCACCTGATCGAGGCCGGCCTGCGTATTGGTGGTCAAGCACATACGCACCTCATATCCGTTAAGGAAGGTAGTGTCACCGTCGATACCGGCTTTTCTGTCTCAAACCCGGTTGGTTACCCAGGCTTTCACCATTGGCTGAATGGGTTTGACCTGGAGCTTAATGCGGCCCGTATGGACGTGTCTGTTCAGGATCAGGTTGAAGATCTGGAATTTGGCACTGTCAGTCTCGCAGCGATGACCGGCAAGGTTGGGCAGTTGTTCAGGTCAGGGTACTGGCGTATCTGGCAGGATCGGACGCGCCTGTTTGCTGAATTGGATGCCTTGCAAGGTACCGGCCAGAGCCTCGGTGACTATATACAGGGCAAGCGCTACAGCCGACGCTTCGTGCAGTCTTATCTGTTACCGCTGATCTCCGCGTTTCAGGGGTACACCGGATCCGCATTCGACATGCCACTGTCTGATGCGTTGAATTATCTTCGCTATCAGAAGTTGCTGCATTACCGCGGTGGCAGAGACTGGCAGGTTGTACAGGGCGGGTCATCTGCCTATCTGCAGGCCTTTGAAAAACAGTTCTCTGGTGTCATTCATACGAACAGTATGGCGTCTGATATCAGCCGGGATGGTCGACAGGTGAACCTGATCAGAGATGGTCTAGCAGAAACCTATGATGCCGTTGTACTTGCCTGCGACAGCGATCAAGCCCTGCATATGCTCGCAGATACAAGCTCTGAGCAGCGTACCGTTTTGGCTCAGGCGACCCCCCGTCGCAGTGACGCGTTTTTACATGGTGATCAGTCTTTCATGCCGCGAAACCGAACGTGCTGGGCAAGCCGAAATGTGACACGTGAAAAAAGCGGTCATCACTCTGTTACTTACTGGATTAACACAATTCAGGGCCTCACGTGTAGCGAGCAGTTTTTTCTCACGGTTAACCCTTCTCGAGAGCCACAACGGGTTCGCTGGCAGGGCAGTTATATGCTTCCTCATGCCGGTCAGTCTGCTCAGGCTCTGCAGCGTCGCTGGTCAGAGGTTTCAACCCAGGACATATGCTTTGCCGGTGCCTATTCCGGCTACGGTACACACGAAGATGGTTTTATCACCGGGTTGCACTGTGCTGAGCACCTGCTGCACATGGCGGTCAGCCGCACTGATGCGAAAGGCCGTGCCAGCGCGGCCTGATTAAATTATCCGAGCGTCCACTTTTCAGGAGATTAATGTGAATCTGCCGTTTATCCTCAATTTAGTATTTTTCCAGATTGTCTGGTTCAGCTGCGTTGTTGGTGCTGGCGCTTATGGTCTGCACTGGCTGGCATTAGGCGCCATGGTTCCATTGATGGTGTTGATCTGGTTCAGCCCGACCCGAAGAGCCGACCTTGCGCTGGCCACGGTCGCGCTGTGCGCGGGTCTGTTGATAGATAACGTCTGGGTTAAGACGGGGATACTGCTTTACCCGGAGTACACCCTTGCCCCCTATTGGATTGGTCTGCTATGGGTCGGCCTGGGACTGACCATTAATCATTCTATGTCGCTGTTTCGAGATCACACATTGATTGGCTCTCTGGTTGTTGGCGCCTTTGCGCCTGTGACCTATCTGTCAGGCGAACGCTTCGGCTCGGTGATTGTGCAGGAACTGGCACTCACCCCACTGATTTGCGTTACCTGGTTCGTGCTGTTCTTTGGTCTGGCCAAATGGGCATTAGCTATGACGCAGTCGTCAGAGGTACTGGTCGAAGCTCAAGAGCAGACCTGATATGTTGTACTGGCGTCACTGATGTCGCGGCCAGATTCGGGGAACACCCATAAAAGACAACCATCCCACTTCTTCAGCCACCACTAAGCTCGGTCTACGGGCCAAGTTGGTTCGTGTTTATGCGTTGCAGGTGTTGCTGATCAGTGTTGCTGCGTTGATTGGCGTGTTCATGACGTACGTCATTGTTGAAAACGTATTGACCCGGGAAGCGCTTGAAACTGAAGCGGAGTATTACTGGGAAGTTGTCCAGCAGGATCCCACACATCCTCTGCCAAATGTGCGCAATATGGTGGGTTATCTTGCCAAAGGGGACGATTACTCTGCGGTGCCTGAGAACATGCGCTCGCTTGATCCAGGGTTTGGGCGAGCGGAAGGCATGCAGGGCAAACCACTGATATTTGTCAGCCGTGAGAATGAGCAGACGCTTTATCTTGTTTTTGCAGAAGCTCAGGTAGCTGACCTGGTATTCTATTTTGGCCTGGCTCCGCTGGCTGCTGTTCTGCTGGTCGTTTATATCCTGCTGTTTCTAACCTATCGCCTTTCTCACGCTGCTATTTCGCCCATGCTTAATCTGGCCAAGTCCATTGAACAGTTCGATTTTCGTTCCACCCAGCGATTAGAGGTGCCGGTCACACCTGAAGACGTTGACCGCGAAACCCGCCTGATGGTTGAGGCACTGCAGGAATTCAGTTCGCGCCTGGAAAATTTTATCGAGCGGGAACGTACATTTACGCGTGACGCAGGTCATGAGCTGCGTACCCCGATAGCGGTGATGAAAGGGTCGCTGGATATTCTTGAGAGCAACAAAGAGCGGTCAGATGCCGATCAGAAAGTGCTGCAGCGTATGCGTCGAGTGGTGGTCGATATGGAGACCCTGCTGGAAACCCTGTTGATGCTTGCCCGTGAAGAAGACGTTTTTGCCCAGGAAGGACCTACCAGCGTCAATCAGGTCATAGCAGAGGAGATCGAATTACTCTCTGAATATGCGGAAAAGAACAGCAATCGGATCGAGCTGATTGAAGAATTCGATGTTGTCTGCAACGCACGCCCGAGGGTGCTTGCAATCATTATGAGCAACCTGATTCGCAATGCGCTTACCTATACGCATAAAGGGCGTGTCACCATTCGCATCACGGATCGTTACGTTGCGGTAACTGATACCGGTATCGGCATGAATGATGAAGATATGGACAGTGCTTTCACGGCATTTTTCCGCGGCGAGAAGGCAAAAAGTACAGCAAATGGTCAGGGGTTGGGGTTAGCTCTGGTGCGGCGCCTGGCGCAACAGCTTGACTGGCGTGTTGACTTGGACAGTGAAGAAGGTGTGGGTACAGAATTCAGAGTCTGGTATAGAAACTGAATCTATCGGTCAGTCGTCATCAGCCATACGGAAGCCGCGTCCGGCTAAAGTTTCTATGAGGGGTTTGTCGAACGGTTTGTCGACAATGCGGCGCAGATTATATACATGGCTGCGCAACGCATCTGAGTCGGGTACTTCGTCTCCCCAGATTTCCTTTTCCAGCTCCCGCCGGGACACCACGGAAGGCGCGCGCCTCATCAGAACGCGTAGAATCTCGAAGGAGCGCGGCGAAAGGCTCAGGCGCTTGCCGGCTCTGATGGCTATTTCCCGCTCTGTGTCCAGTTCAAGGTCGGCAACTCTGTAGGTGGTTTCAGAGACATCCCCTTTGTCCCGACGGATCAAAGCTTCAATACGCACGGCCAGTTCTGGTAGTTCAAAAGGTTTGACCAGATAATCGTCTGCGCCGACTTCAAAACCCTGCAGTTTGTCGTTCAGTTGATCGCGCGCTGTCAGCATGATCACTGGTGTTGTCTTCCGCGCGTCTTTACGCAAGCGACGACATACTTCCATGCCGTCGATGCCTGGTAGATTGATGTCCAGGATAATGGCGTCATATTCTTCCGTCACTGCCAGGTGCATGGCGGTTAAACCATCACCCGCGTAGTCAACGGTATAACTTTGAGATTCGAGATACATGCCAACGGTTTCGGCCAACTCATTGTTGTCTTCAACCAGTAGAATCGTGCGAAAACCTTGTTTCTCAGCCATGGGCGTTAGGATCCTGTTGTGAGCCTGCATCTTAATTGGACGTTGTGATTACACCAAGAACAATATAGTAAGGTGCATCAGATGAAGCTTTTGTGAGTGGCAGCTTGCGCGCGCCAGTGAAACAATAGGTTACGCCTTTGAGAAGCGATTTTGCACCATGGTTGAAAAAACACCGATCAATGATCATTTCTGGATGCCGTTTACGGCGCGTAATGGTTTTCGTAAAGATCCGCGCATAGTTGCTGCGGCCGAGGGATGTGAATACATCACCGATGACGGTCGACGTGTTTTTGATAGCATTTCGGGATTGTGGTGTTGTGGATTCGGACACAATCGCCCGGAGATCGCCCAGGCAGTGACCCGTCAGCTGCAGACGCTGGATTACAGCCCCAGCTTTCAACTGGGCCACCCCCTGGCATTTGAGCTGGCGGAGCGTCTGACACGAATTGCACCGGAGCCTTTTAATCACGTTTTTTTCACCAACTCAGGTTCAGAGAGCGCAGATACGTCGCTGAAAATCGCGCGTGCTTACTGGCGCATGCGAGGACAACCGAATAAAACCCGCTTTATTGGTCGTATCAAGGGCTATCACGGTGTGAATTTTGCCGGCACCAGCCTGGGCGGGATTGGACCCAACCGCAAACTGTTCGGGCAACTGGCTGAAGCGGATCATCTGCCCCAGACCTGGCGTGCCGAAGATGTGTTCACAAAAGGCCAGCCCCAGGGTGGCGAGGAGTTGGCTAACTATCTCGAGCAGCTTGTGGCGTTGCACGACGCCTCCAACATCGCGGCTGTTATTGTTGAGCCCGTGGCTGGTTCGGGTGGTGTCCTGGTGCCGCCCTCCGCCTATCTTGCTCGGCTGAGGGAAATCTGTACACAACACGATATTCTGCTGATTTTTGATGAGGTCATTACCGGCTTTGCCCGTACCGGATCCAGTTTTGGGGCGCAGACCTTCGGGGTGATGCCGGACATCATGAATCTGGCCAAAACGCTGACCAATGGCGTGATTCCCATGGGGGCGGTGTTAACCGGCAAAGAAATATTCGACGCCTTTGTCGATGATGATCAGGCCGATCATCAGATTGCCATGCCCCATGGCTATACCTATTCAGCCCATCCGGTAGCCTGCGCCGCAGCCCTGGCTGCCCTGGACGTATTTGAGCAGGACGATATGGTTGGCAGGGCGCTGAAGCTTGCCCCGGTGTTGCAGGAGAGTCTGCACAGTTTGCGTGACCTGCCTCATGTTGTGGATGTTCGCAATATCGGCATGATGGGCGCAATTCAGCTGGCACCGCGCGGTGCAGATCTTACTGTGCGCCCGTATGAGGTTGGCGTGTGGTGCTGGCATCATGGGCTGTATGTGCGTTGGGGAGGTGATACGTTGCAGTTTGCTCCGCCATTCACAGCCACGGAAGATCAGCTTGCGCAAATGACCCTGACGCTCAAACAGGCCTTAACTTCGTTGGTATAAGACGTTGGCAAACGCTTCGGCGACGTAGAACTTTTTCCGGTCAAAAAAAGGGCCGGTTGATGACTCACGTCAAAACCGACCCTCTTTGCTCGTTGTAGGATCAACTACAAAAGCTGACCCTCGAAACTCGCAATAGATATCACTGATCACCTCCTTTAGTTTTTGCCCGTGTGGCTCAGATTATGTCTATCCCGAAAACATTTGCAAGAGATGTTGTGAGGCGTCCTGAAGGTTACAATAGTGCGCTCAGATTTTTGCGGATGATTGGATATGGCGGACGAAAAACTAACGGGTCAGGAAGCCTGGGCACAACGCTCAGAAGCAGAGCTGCGCGGTAAACCGCTGGAGGATCTGACCTGGGTAAGCCCTGAAGGTATCCCCATAAAACCTCTGTATACAGAAGCAGATATTGAAGACATAGCACATATTCCCAGCTTTCCTGGCGATGCACCGTTTGCGCGGGGACCGCGTTCAACCATGTACACCAATCGACCCTGGACCATCCGGCAATATGCGGGCTTTTCCACCGCAGAGGAATCCAACGCTTTTTATCGACAGAATCTGGCAGCGGGTCAGAAGGGACTATCGGTTGCATTTGATCTGGCCACCCATCGCGGATTTGATTCTGATCATCCGCGTGTGGCGGGTGATGTAGGTATGGCGGGTGTCGCCATTGATTCAGTGGAAGACATGAAAATTCTATTTGACGGCATTCCGCTTGATCAGATGTCCGTATCGATGACCATGAACGGCGCTGTGTTACCGGTACTTGCAGGCTATGTGGTCGCCGGTGAAGAGCAGGGGGTCGCACAGAAAGACCTTTCCGGCACAATTCAGAACGACATTCTGAAAGAGTTCATGGTCCGCAACACCTTTATTTATCCGCCGCAAAGCAGTATGCGGATTGTGGCGGACATTATCGGCTATACATCTGAGCATATGCCGCGTTTCAACTCCATTTCGATTTCCGGTTATCACATGCAGGAAGCCGGCGCGAACGCGGTACAGGAGGTTGCGTTTACGCTCGCAGATGGTGTCGAGTACGTCCGTGCGGCCCTTGCCACCGGACAGGCGGTAGATAAATTTGCGCCGCGTTTATCGTTCTTTTTCTGTATTGGCATGAACTTCTTCATGGAGATCGCCAAGTTACGTGCGGCCCGGATTCTGTGGCACGAGCTTATGAGTCAGTTTAATCCGCAGAATCCATCCTCACTGATGCTGCGGACGCATTGTCAGACCTCAGGGGTATCGCTGCAGGAACAGGATCCATATAACAACGTGGTGCGCACCACGATCGAAGCGATGGCAGCTGTGCTGGGTGGCACTCAGAGTCTGCATACCAATGCATTGGACGAAGCGATTGCGCTGCCAACGCCATTCTCCGCCCGCATAGCACGCAATACGCAGATCATTCTTGCCGAAGAAAGTCAGATAACCCGTACAATCGATCCGTTAGGTGGCAGCTATTATGTTGAGAGCCTGACTAACTCCATTGTGCAGCACGCGCGCAAACTGATCGAAGAAGTAGAAGGTCTCGGCGGTATGACTAAGGCCGTAGTGTCAGGCATGCCCAAACAGCGTATCGAGGAAGCTGCGGCTCAGCGCCAGGCGCGCATTGAACGTGGCGAAGACGTGATTGTCGGCGTTAACAAATATCAACTTGAGGAAGAAGACGGCGAGCTCGATGTCCTGGCTGTTGATAACAGCAAGGTGAGGCAGGCACAGCTGCGTCGACTGAATGAGTTGCGTAATAACCGCGACGAAGCCAAGGTGCAGGCCTCGATGGATGCGCTCACAAAAGCAGCAGCGGAAAACTCAGGTAACCTGTTGGAGCTTGCGATAGAGGCCACTCGTAATCGCGCCAGCGTCGGCGAGGTGTCTTACGCACTTGAGAAGGTCTACGGCAGGCATGAGCCCAAAGCGAAGATGACGCCCGGAGTCTATGCCGAGAGTTATGGTGATGACCCAGCTTTTACTAAAGTGCGCGACGAGATCAAAATTTTCACAGACGTTGAGGGGCAGGCGCCCAGCATCCTGGTGGTCAAGATGGGACAGGATGGACATGACCGGGGTGCCAAGGTCATTTCCAACGCGTTTGGTGATTTTGGTTTCGATGTGAGTATGGGGCAATTATTTCAGACGCCTTCAGAAGCCGCTGCCCAGGCCAAAGCAGAAGGTGTGCAGGTCGTCGGTGTGTCCACCCTTGCTGGTGGACATAAATCGTTGGTCCCTGAAATGATTCAGGAGCTGCAGGCTGCAGGCATGGAGGACGTGATTGTTGTGGTCGGCGGTGTCATCCCGCAGCAGGACTATCAGGCACTCTACGACGCAGGCGTGCACGCTATTTTCGGGCCGGGTACAAACATTCCGGACGCAGCGAGTCAGATATTGAAGCTGATTCCCGGCAAAAACAGATAAAAAACATTAGATTAACAAGAAAGCAGGAGTAACAGATGATTGGACGGTTGAACCATGTGGCCATCGTAGTGCCGGACCTGGCAGCAGCAGCGCAAATGTATAAAACCTCGCTGGGTGCTAAGGTCACTGCGCCTGAGCCTTTGCCTGACCATGGTGTCACCACGGTTTTTGTGGAGCTGCCAAATACTAAAATTGAGCTGTTGCACCCTCTCGGAGAAGACTCGCCCGTGCAGAAATTTCTGGACAACAATCCCAGTGGCGGCATGCATCATGTTTGTTATGAAGTTGAAGACATTCATGCAGCAATTGCACATCTTGTGGATGAAGGCGCGCGGGTGCTTGGCGACGGTCAACCAAAAACAGGCGCTCATGGTCTGCCGGTGGTGTTCCTGCATCCCAAAGACTTCTGCGGCACCCTTGTCGAGCTGGAAGAAGTCAGAGCGGCCTGAAAAATGCCCCGTCTTGGCATTCGATAGCGCCGGGTGAAGGCGCTATCGATGGATTATTCAAACGATCGGCTATTCAAATTCTACAATAGCCTGGTCAACCATTAACGATTCACCTTCGCTGGCCATCACTTTGGCCACTACACCGTCTTCTTCGGCACGTAAACTGTTTTCCATTTTCATGGCTTCGACGACCGCTAGCTCTTCACCCGCTTTGACCTCGTCGCCTTCTTTAACCGACAAACTAACCAGTAGCCCTGGCATGGGTGAGAGAAGGAACTTGGACAAATCAGGTGGTGTCTTTTCGATCATGTGCTGTGCAAGTTCTGCCGCAGCTGGCGTTAACACCAGCAGCTGAGTTTCTGCACCGCGATAGAAGGCGAGATAACCGGCCTTGTGCTGTTCTAGCTGGAGGGTCACTGTCTGGCCATTGACCTCTGCTTCCACCAGGGTGTTGCCGGGTAGCCAGTCGGTTTGCACGCGGTACACTTTGCCTTCAAAGTCCACTTCAAAGCCATGTGCGACAGGCTGCAGTGTTATTGGATAGTGGGCCTTGTTTGCGATGACAACCCAATCCTGGTGAGCTTCCGGTTCGAACCTGCGCGTCTGACCGCTGATCTGGCTGGCGCGTTCGTTCAGGATGGTGTTGATCACGGCGGTTATGACAACTGGTATCAGAGGATCACTCTGGGGTACGTCGCCGGCGTGGAATCCGTCGGGGTATTCTTCAGCAATAAAGTTTGTGGTTATGCGGCCTTCCGCAAAACGGGGGTGCATGATCAATGCATTCAGGAAGCTGATATTATGCCGTACGCCACGGATGTAATAACTGTCTAAAGCATCAGCCATGTGTTCAATGGCTTGTTCGCGGGTATCGCCGTAAGTCACCAGTTTTGCAATCATGGGATCGTAATACATCGATACCTCGCTGCCTTCTTCAATGCCGGTGTCGACACGTACGTGGGCTGTTTCAACGGGTGCTTTATAATTCACCAGACGCCCGATTGACGGTAGAAAGTTTCGAAACGGATCTTCCGCATAAACACGGCTTTCCATCGCCCAGCCTTTGAGCTGAACGTCTTCCTGCTTTAGTGAAAGCACTTCATTGTTGGCCACGCGGATCATATGCTCCACCAGGTCCTGGCCGGTGACGAGTTCCGTGACAGGGTGCTCCACCTGTAAACGTGTATTCATTTCAAGGAAGAAAAAGTTCTTGTTGGCGTCAACGATAAATTCAACGGTGCCAGCCGAGCTGTAGTCGACGGCACGAGACAGGGCAATGGCCTGTTCACCCATAGCTTGGCGGGTCTTTTCATCAAGAAACGGAGAAGGTGCTTCTTCGATGACTTTCTGGTGGCGTCGCTGGATTGAACATTCTCGTTCGCCTAGGAATATGGCGTTGCCATGTTTGTCAGCGAGCACCTGGATCTCAATGTGCCTTGGCTCTTCGATGAATTTCTCGGCGAATACGCGGTCGTCACCAAAGCTTGAACGGGCTTCGTTAGTGGCGCGTTCAAAACCGTCGCGACACTCGTCATCATTCCACACCACGCGCATGCCTTTACCACCGCCTCCGGCGCTGGCTTTCAACATCACCGGATAGCCAATTTCAGAGGCGATTTTTACCGCATGTTCAGGGCCATCAATCACATCGGTGTAGCCTGGGATCGTGTTAACGCCTGCTTCAGCAGCCAGCAGTTTAGAGGTGATCTTGTCACCCATGCTGGTAATGGCTTTCACGCCGGGACCGATGAAGGTAATGCCAGCGCCGTCTAATGCTTCACAGAAGTCAGCGTTCTCAGATAAAAAGCCGTATCCCGGGTGTACAGCCTGGGCGCCGGTTTCTTTGCAGGCAGCAATAATGCGCTCAATCTGCAGGTAACTCTGGGCGGAAGGTGAAGGGCCGATGTGCACTGCCTCGTCTGCCATGCGTGTATGCAGCGCATTGGCATCTGCATCGGAGTAGACCGCAACGGTTTTGATACCCATGCGGCGGGCGGTTTTGATGACGCGGCAGGCAATTTCACCGCGGTTGGCTATCAGTATTTTCTCAAACATTAAATTTACCTTACACGCGGTTAAAGCGGGATGTTGCCGTGTTTACGCCAGGGATTTTCCAGCTCTTTGTCGCGCAACATCGCAAATGAGCGGCACACCCGCTCTCTTGTTTCAGCAGGCATAACAACATCGTCAACGTAACCGCGACTGGCGGCGACAAAAGGATTGGCAAACAGGTTCTGATACTCTTCGGTGCGCCGTGCGATGCCTTCGTCGTCGCCCAGTTCTTTGCGGAAAATGATTTCAACAGCACCTTTAGCACCCATAACCGCGATTTCAGCGCTGGGCCAGGCAAGATTAACGTCGCCGCGCAGGTGTTTGGATGCCATGACGTCATAAGCGCCACCGTATGCTTTGCGGGTGATCAATGTCACTTTTGGCACCGTGCATTCCGCATAGGCGTACAGAAGTTTGGCGCCATTTTTGATGATGCCACCGTATTCCTGCACGGTGCCGGGCATAAATCCGGGTACATCAACCAGGGTAAGAATGGGAATATTAAAGGCATCGCAGAAGCGAACAAAACGCGCGCCTTTCTTCGACGAATCGATATCCAGGCATCCTGCAAGGACCATGGGTTGATTAGCAACCACGCCTACAGTTGAACCCTGTAAACGTATGAAACCGATAACAATGTTCTGTGCGTATTCAGACTGCACTTCAAAAAAGTCTTTCTCGTCCGCAATCTTATGGATCACTTCTTTGATGTCATAAGGTTTTGATGCGTCGGCGGGGACCAGCGTATTAAGTGACGGTTCTTCACGGGCGCCAGGGTCTTCTGTGGGCCAGCGCGGTGGCTTTTCGCGATTACTTGCAGGCAGAAAATCGAAAAAGCGCCGTGTGCGCAGTAACGCTTCCAGATCATTTTCGAATGACAGATCGGCAACCCCGGATTTGCGCGTGTGAATACTCGCGCCGCCGAGTTCTTCCGGCGTGACAACCTCGTGGGTAACGGTTTTCACAACATCTGGTCCGGTGACAAACATGTAAGCAGAGTCTTCCACCATGAAGATGAAGTCTGTCATCGCGGGGGAGTAAACTGCGCCGCCAGCACAGGGCCCCATGATCAGGGACAGCTGTGGAATGACGCCTGAGGCAAGCACATTGCGCTGAAATATTTCTGCGTAACCCCCCAACGAGGCAACACCTTCCTGGATGCGCGCGCCACCTGAGTCGTTCAAGCCAATAATCGGCGCGCCAACCTTCATGGCCTGATCCATGACTTTGCAGATTTTTTCCGCATGGGCTTCGGATAAAGCGCCACCGAATACGGTGAAATCCTGGCTGTAAACAAACACCAGCCGCCCATTAATTGTGCCGTAGCCGGTGACTACACCATCCCCGGGGATTTTTTGTTCTTCCATGCCAAAATCGTGCGAGCGGTGTTCTACATATTTATCCCACTCTTCGAAGGAGCCTTCGTCAAGAAGCACTGAAATCCGCTCGCGAGCGGTGAGCTTTCCTTTCAGATGTTGTTGCTTGATGCGGTGTTCACCACCGCCGAGCATAGCGGCATCTTGTTTTTCTTTGAGTCGGGCGATGATGTCTTGCATAGAAACTCCAGGTAGCAGTCAGCCTCAGCGGCGCAGCATGATACCGTTTGCAGCAAAGGGCGGCTACTTATTCAGCGTCAGCCGGGGTTTTCGCGGCAATATGGGCCTGTATATCCACCGCTACGTTTTTGAAAGCCGGTGTGCGGCTGCGCGGGTCGACCTCTGTATTGACCAGAACGTTGGCCTCCGGGAAATACGCCAGCGTGTTGCCCGCAGGCAGGTCGAAAGGCACTAACCGCAGTGCAATCATCTGGCCAGCAGCCGAAGTGACATCAACCAGGTCGTTCGCTGTAAGCCCCAGCGCCTTGATATCTTCGATATTCATGAAGATACACCAGCGGGAATTTGTGCCGCGGTAGCTGTCTTCATTTTCATAGATCAGCGTATTGAACTGACCTTCGCTGCGCACAGTTGCCAGTCGGAACGACCGCTCACAATTGTGCTCGGGTAGACTGTTGAGTGCAAAACACGCGCGTCCGCCTGATCTTGAAAACTGCGGTGTTTTGAGCAGACGACCGTTAACGTGAAACTCTGCTTTAGCCACATCAATGCTGGCCAGGGGCTGCATGCCGGGTACCGTTGCGGCAATTGCATGGCGGATCGACTGATGGGTCTGAAAACACTGGAAATCGAAAACAGTTGGGTCGATGACCTGTGATGCAATACTTACCAGAAGGTCAGTTTCGCTGCGCGGACCGTCGATTCTATTGATGCCGCCGTCAGACAGGCGCACATAATTGAACATGCTTTCCTGTGTGGTGGCTTGTCTTTCCTCGTCTCTTGCGAGTACGGGTAACACCAGGCTTGCGCCGTTGTCTGAGCCGTAAATATGGCTGCGATTCAGGGTGGTGGTGAGGAAGGTTTTGCTGCCAATTCTATTCAGAGCGCCTTCTGCCCAGCTTCGATCAGGGCTGGCACTGAAGAGATTGCCGCCCATGATAAA